AGCCACCATATGACCCCCAATAGAGAATGGTTCTTTGATTTTAAAGAACTAAAAGGTGGAATTGTCTACACAACAAATAATTCCCCTCTTGACACACTTGGGATTGGTTCAATTCGCTTGAGGAATCAGGATAGATCAATCAGAACCTTAACAGGTGTCCATTATGTACCAGATTTAATGAGAAATCTCATCTCTGTGGGAACCTTAGAGTCAAAAGGTTTAGAAGTGAGGGCAAAAGATGGGATTATAAGGATTATCTCTGGTGCACTGGTTATAATGAAGGGAATCCGGAAAAGAAACAATGTGTATTACTTTCTGGGTAGTACAATTGTTGGGACAGCAGCAGCGACAACTTCTACTGATGAACAGGAGTCAGAAGCAACCAGGTTATGGCATATGCGCTTGGGGCATGTTGGTGAAAAATCCTTGAAATTGCTGATAGATCAAGGATTATTGAAGGGTGCTCGGGCTTGCAAATTAGCTTTTTGTGAGCATTGCATCAAAGGGAAGAAGACGAGGGTGAAATTTGGAACAACAATCCATAATACTAAAGGTATTTTGGATTATGTTCATTCAGATGTATGGGGGCCTTCCAAGATAACTTCATTGGGAGAAACACACTATTATGTTACCTTTGTTGATGCTTTTTCCAGGAGAGTTTGGGTGTATACAATGAAGACAAAGGATGAGGTGCTAGGATTTTTCCTTAAATGGAAAAAGATGGTGGAGACTCAAACAGGCAGAAAAATCAAACGTCTCTATACAGACAATGGTGGAGAGTACAAAAATGATCCATTTCTGAAAGTCTGTGAAGAAGAAGGTATTGTCAGGCATTTCACTGTCAGATCTACACCACAACAGAATGGGGTGGCAGAGCGTATAAACTGGACATTAGTGGAGAAGGTTCGGTGTATGTTGTCTAATGTTGGGTTAGGCAAAGAATTTTGGACTGAGGCTTTGGTCTATGCTTGTCACCTTGTCAACCGCTTACCATCGACTGCTATTGTTGGTAAAACACCATTAGAGAAATGGTTTGGAGAACCTGCTACAGATTATGATTCCTTACATGTGTTTGGTTCCACTGCATACTACCATGTTAAGGAGTCAAAGCTGGATCCAAGAGCAAAGAAGGCGATCTTTATGACGATCACCTATGGTGTGAAAGGCTATCGTCTTTGGTGTCCAGAAACAAAGAAAATAATCTTCAGCAGGGATGTTACCTTTGATGAATCTACCATGTTGAGAAAGGTGACTTCAGAAAAATTAGAGCAGACAGATGGAACTCCCAAACAGGTGGAGTTTGAAGGAAGCAGAATTAACCCAGTCAGTAAAGAAACTGATGTTGACTCTCCTATGGTAGAAGAAGAGTCAAATGAAGAAGAGGTTCAGACCCAAGAACCTCCACAGCAACATGAATCAATTGCACTTAGAAAGGGAAAGAGGACCATTAGACAACCTGCTCGTTATGCTGATATGGTCTCTTTTGCATCACCAATTACAATTGATGATGTTCCTGCCACTTTTAATGAAGCAATCCAAAGTTCAGAACATAAAAAGTGGAGGATCGCCATGAACGAAGAAATGCAATCCCTTCAAAAGAATCAGACATGAAAACTAGCTAGTCTTCCGAAGGGAAAGAAGGCAATTGAGTGCAAGTGGGTATATGCAAAGAAAGATGGATTTCCTGACAAGAATAACATCCGCTACAAAGCAAGATTGGTGGCTAAAGGCTACGCTCAAACGGAGGGAGTTGATTATAATGAAGTATTTTCTCCAGTTGAAAACATTCCTCCATCAGAATTTTGTTGGCTTTGGTAGCACAGTTGGATTTGGAACTAGTTCAGATGGATTTAAAAACTGCATTTTTACATGGAAACTTGGATGAGGAAATCTACATGACTCAGCCAGATGGATTCAAAGTTGCTGAAAAAGAAGAGATGGTGTGCACATTAAAAAAATTGCTATACGGATTGAAGCAATCTCCAAGGCAGTGGTACAAGCGATTTGACAAGTTTATGATAGGGAAGAAGTACACAAGAAGCAAATATGATCATTGTGTGTATTTACGCAAGCTACAAGATGGATCCTATATATATCTTCTTCTTTATGTTGATGATATGCTGATAGCTTCCAGGAGTCAGATAGAAATTGCGAAACTAAAGACTCAATTGAACAAGGAGTTTGAGATGAAGGATCTTGGTGAAGCAAAGAAGATTCTAGGCATGGAGATATCAAGGGATAAGAAATTGAGGAGGCTTTGTTTGTCTCAGAAAGAATATTTGAGGAAGGTACTAAAATGTTTTGGCATGAATGAGAAGTCAAAACCAGTTTGTACACCTCTTGCTCCTCATTTCAAGCTCGGTGCATCCATGTCACCTAAGGATGATGCAGAACGAGAATACATGTCAAAGGTTCCATATGCAAGTGTTGATGGTAGCTTAATGTATACAATGGTGTGTACGAGACCCGATATTTCACAAGCAGTTGGGGTTGTGAGCAGGTATATGCATGATCCTGGAAAGGAGCATTGGGAAGCTGTGAAATGGATTCTGCGGTATATTATGAACACCGTAGTTGTTGGTTTGGTCTTTCAGTAGGACAAACAAGATGGTCAGTGTGTAGTTGGGTATTGTGATTCAGACTATGCAGGTGATTTGGACAAGCGTCGATCAACTACTGGTTATGTGTTTACATTTGCAAAAACACTAGTCAGTTGGAAGTCCACCTTACAGTCAACATTGGCTTTGTCTACTATAGAGGCAGAGTATATGGCAGTTACAGAGGCTGTGAAGGAGGCAATTTGGCTTCAAGGGTTGTTTGGTGAATTGGGAATGGAAGAAAAGCACATCAAAGTGCATTGTGACAGTCAGAGTGCTATTCATTTAGCAAAGAACCAAGTTTACCATGCAAGGACGAAGCACATCGATGTTCGATATCACTTTGTACGAGAGATTCTAGAAGAAGGTGGAGTCATAATCCAGAAGATTCGGACCACTGAGAATCCTGCTGATATATTGACAAAAGTGGTAACTACGGTCAAGTTTAAACATTGTTTAGACTTGGTCAATATTGTTATAAATTGAAAGATGAATTTGCAGACACTACTGAAGATTGAATTTTTTTAGAGACGTGTGTGGAATTTGCCAAGGTGGAGATTTGTTGGTTTTTGGCAAATATCCCACATTGGTTTTGTATAAGGAGGAGGGGAAATTCTTTTGTTATAAATATAGCCCTCCTCCTCCTTAGTTTAGCATCCCACAAATATAAGCCTTCTTCACTATTAAAGGCTATTTGTACTCTTTCTCTCTTTGTAATATTTCCTCTACTAGTGAAATATTATTTTAGTAGTGTTCGAGGAGGTAGGCATAATTTTGGTCTAACCTCGTTAAATTTTGGTGTTCTCTTTATGTCTATTTAATAGCTATTGTCGGGTATAATTGTTGTTAATTATTGTCCTATTAAAATTACTTGTCTTGGTAGTTCTGTCTAAGGAAAGTGGGTTTTAAGAGGGACCATTGTGACCCATCCTCTTTCCTGGGAATCTACCTTGGTGTGATTTTTAGTACAATCGTTTTCACACTAGTCACCTGGATAATAGTTTCAAGGTGAATTTGTTATTATTGGTGGAAATTAACCCGAATTTCACAACAAATTGATCCCTATTGTTGTGATTAATATTTTATAAGTTTAATTTTAAAATTTAATTGAGTCTGAAATTAATTTGTCGGAAGAAAGTAACAATATCTACTCGATTAGACCTCCAAACAAGATAGGAATACTATGATAATAATTCCTTTTGAAATTGTGAATATAGTAAGTTGAATGAATATTGATTTACTATTCTCCTCCATAATAATTCTTTTGAAATTGTGAATATACTAAGTTAAATGAATATTGATTTATGTTGTCCCCATCATAATAACTCTTTTGAAATTGTGAGAATATTCTACCCATTATTTATATCGGATGTATTTGTGAAAATCAATGTCCTAAATCATCCACTTCAATATTCGTGTATTTGCATAATTAAATAGAACTTCAAACATAATGACCTTGGTGGTAAATGAATTGTTGTTATTTCTTGAAGTCCAAGGAATGTCAGGGGTACGAGCATTTAATGTCAAATGGTTAAAATATATATTTGAACATATATTAGCTTGTACTTATTACAGATTATCAAAAAAATATTTTAGTGGTAAAAGAGAGTATTGTTCTTCTTAGATGTTTTGAGTTCTAATAACTATACCTAAAGATTATATATATTATCCATTACTAAAAAAAAATTTGAACATATATCATCGGTCCACTCTCTTATCATGAACATGATACATCAAACACAAAATCAATGCTCATAAGAAGAGATAACTGGTCAAACATAATATTCTTTAATGATACGAAATCCATCGGCTAGCTAGGGCATGTTTCATGTGCTTTAATTGCATATATATGGAATTTTGGGATTAAAAGCTCCTTGAAAGAGAGATGTTAACTTAAGATTTTTTATGTTATTTGACGTGTTAGTGTCATCGATAATGCGTCATTATACACTCAAATTCAATCATAAGTGATTTTTTTAATATTTTATTAATAATACAAATACTATATGACAATTGAAAGTGTGCATTAAAAGCATTAGCAATAATTATACTAATAAGGTACCCGTTCTTGATTTTTACTTCAATGGTCCCCAAAGGGAAAACCTTACCTGGAAATAAAACATTTAAGCAATGATGTTGATTTTAAACTTTCTTTGAAGGATTCTACATATATACCTTCATGCACCGACACTTTAATGACAATGACAGATATCTTAAGAAAGTTTTAAAAAATATATATATACACAAAAAAAATCTAATCTTCCTGGGAAATAAAAGGAAAATTATCGTGGGAAATTAAAAAGAAGAAGCAAAAGATGAGCACGAAATGCCCATAACTAGTGTGAATTAGAAGTGGAAAATTACTAGTAGTGGAAAGTGTGAGTCTCCAAGAGGAAACCCTGAACTCTACATCAATAGGATGATGGTGGTTCTGGGCATCTAGAATAAGATTTCCACGTGATTACGGTGTAAAGATTTTGACCAACAATAGTACCATCAATAATTAATGGTCCTTTAATGGCCAAGAAAACACTTGTTTTCTCCGAACATCCCAACCGCATCACTCATTCTCCTTTTGGAGTTTCCTGCTGCTGCTACTACATAGCCGTTATCATTTTCGTTTCTCTTTATATATTCTTCCTGCGGCGAAGAACTACTACTCAACACCATCATGGCTTGTTCTTCACCGTCTTCTCTGATTACCCAAGGTCCAGATAAGTCACCTACGCTGCAACAACGCCTCCAATTCATCGTCCAAAGAAGGCCTGAATGGTGGGTTTATTCCATTTTCTGGCAAGCTTCAAGGGATGCTCGAGGTCACGTTGTTTTATCATGGGGTGATGGGTATTTCCTGGGGACACGAGACTTCACAGGCAAATCTTGCAATAAGTTGATCCAACAGAGGAAGAGATCGGGAAAAGAGGTGCAAGTTTTTTCTAACGAAGTGATGGGCATGGATCGAATGGTAGATGGCGGTGGCGATCTCACTGATTACGAGTGGTTTTATTCTGTATCGATGACTCAATCCTTTGCTGTTGGAGATGGCATTCTCGGGAAAGCTTTTGGCTCAGGCTCCCATATTTGGTTGAGTGGAGACCATGAACTCCAATCGTACCCATGTGAGCGAGTTAGAGAAGCTCGAATGCGAGGGATTCAGACCTTACTGTGTCTTTCCACACCCCTTGGGGTTGTCGAATTGGGATCTTCAGAGATGATCGTGGAAGACTGGGGCACGGTGCAACTTATAAAATCAATACTCTGTTCAAAGCAGGCTGGCCACGAATCCCAAGTCAAGATTTCAACCCCAGGTATCCCTTTTGTCGATTTCGGAATGGTTTCAACTAGTAACCAAAAGGAACCGATTCTTCAAGAGAAGGCCAGGAAAGAAACTACAGGTTTAGACCGGCTTTCACCGGACTCCTGTGCTGATTCAGATAACAATTTTGCCTCTGAAGACACGGGGTCTAATACCAGCCGTTCGAAGAAGAGAGGGCGCAAACTGGGGAGTAGGAAAGAACCCCCTATAAAGCACGTGGAAGCAGAACGGCAGCGGCGCGAGAGGCTGAACCATCGGTTCTACGCACTCCGATCAGTTGTTCCAAACGTATCAAGGATGGATAAAGCATCTTTGCTTTCGGATGCAGTAGCCTACATCAAGGAACTGAGATCAAGGATCGACAAATTAGAGACTGAACTCTTAGTACAATCCCAAAAACCCAAGCTGAATCCCATCAACGTTTTCGAAAACCAAAGCACGAAACCCACATTCGACAATACAATCAAGCAATCCTCTAGTTTTTGGCCAAAGAAGGTGGAAGTTGATGTAAAGATTGTGGGATCGGAAGCTATGATTCGTGTTCAAAGTCCTGATATCAACTATCCAGCCGCAAGATTGATGGATGCTCTTCGAGACCTAGAGCTTCATGTTCACCATGTAAGCGTATCGAGCGTCAATGATCTAATGCTTCAAGATGTTGTCGTCAAAATTCCTACCGGAATATTTATAAGCGAGGAAGTGCTTAGAAATGCTATCCTTCAAAGATGCTCGTTGAACTAGCTAGCTAGGTTACCTCTCCGGTCACCGGAAAGATGAACTTTTTGTTTTTCTTTCTTCTTATGTTTAGTTGTTCATGCAATTATTTAACCTCTTCGACATGGTCCACCATCGTGCATGCACCAAGCGGTGAAGCAATTGATATATGTTCTAAGTACTTGAGTACAGTTAATAAACTAGCTTTTTATATGCATGATTATACATTCCCATCAACAAATTTAATTGAGATATAGTTGGGAATGGATGCCCTAATATGTCATAATTTTCACCAAATTTGTAGTGTACTGATAAAGAACATTATTTTACTCTTATTATAAATTATGTGAGATGTTTATGTGGATTCTAGTTTGACAATCTGCGGAATGTAGGGAGGAAATGAATAAGGCTAGTTTTTAACTGGTATGGAGTTTCACCTTGGGGAAAATCAATGCACAAAAGCTCTTGTTCCGTGGGTGCCGTGGCCGTGGTCGACATTAAATCCGGGGAGTACTCTATTTCTTCTCTTGCACTTTAATTTTATGTTTTGAGGCAAAACGCTTTAAGTGAGGGGGGAGTAGAGTGTAGGTTGAATTTCCCTTTTGCTTATCTTTATGTTTTGATGTAATATCCTCAATATCGGGTTAGTGATTAAATTGAAATATTTCGGAATTTGTTGGTCAAAGTAGATAAATTGAAAGTTTGGGGACTTACATGAAAAAAATGTTGTGTAGGATTTTAATATTAAAAAAAGGAAATATGGAAGGGTAAAATGGTAATTTGGTGGAAAGTTAATTATTAAGTGGGGATATATATGTGTTACACGTGGGAATGAAGGAGAAAAAGGAAGTTTTCTAAAGTTCTCTTCTTCATCCTCTTACAGCCGTGAGCTCAAACTTGATAAGGTGAGTTTTCTAGACAGTTAATTATTCATTGAATTTAGGTTGGGTTTATGATTCTTAAGTGATACTTAAGCCTAAGGAAGGCTTAAGCTAGTATTAAAACAAAGAATAGAAGAGTTGGGAGGAATTAAAGTTAAGGAGTTTTTAAGTGAAATTTTGATGATGAGTTAATAAGCTAAATTGGAAGATAAATTTGACTTGTCAAAAGTTGAATTAAGAAATATGAAGTGTTAGAATTGGATTTAGACCACGTTGGAAATTTAGTATGATTTTTGAATTTCATAGGATGGATAGGATTTTGAGGCTTAAGATGTGATAAATGGGTATTAAGTGGTTTAAGTAGGTGTATGTAAGTTTAGGATGTGAAAAGGGTTGAAATATGAAAAAATTGAGCTAAGTTGAGTGATTTTCGTGCATAAATTGGAATTCTGGGCCAGTGTGCATCGGTACACATTCAACATGTACTGATGCATCAAGGGTAAATTTCCAGAAATTACTCAGTGTGTATCGATGCACAGGAAGTGCATCGATGCACCCCTTAAAGTAAAAACATTGAATGTAATTTGTGTATCGATGCATAGTTGGTGCATCGATATACATGTTAAGGAATGTACTGATGCACCACAAAGTGTACCGATGCATACTTAAATAAAAGATGTAAATAGCTTTTCTTTTTAACACAAGAAATGAAAAGATTAGAGTCTATCAATTAGAATACTGATATGGATCCATGTATGATTATGTAGATACCAAGCTCGAGCAAGTTTTGGAACGATCACCAAGTTAGAATTCGATCGAAAGAAAGGAAGTCATAGGAATAATGAATAGTCAGTGAGGCCAATGTGAGTGCATATTAGATAGTGTGTTATGTTTAATGGAAATAAGACTTGCGACAAGTCTATTTCTTATAGTAGAATGCATGAACTCATTAATATGAGCATATGTTTGACATGATACATGTGTGTTAATGATTATTGCATATGTTAAATGATATGTGTGAATACAAGTTTATATGATACATGATAAATGTCTATAATATATGTGAACACAAGATGATATGAGAAAGGATATAAGAGATATTATGTGATTTATAGAAAACATATGTGAACAATAAATAGCAATGATATACATGTTATATGAATACAAGAGAAGTGTTATAAGTTACGTGATATATGCATATGAAATCATATGAACAATGATAAGTACATGTGAAGATATGAAATAATAAATAATAATGCCCATGTTATATATCATGAAGGCTAGTAGTATAGTTGACATGCCAAGAGTCAAGGGATTACCAGTGGTCCTTCGGGACATAGTGGTTCTTCTGGACATTTCATAGTGGTCCTTCGGGACAAATTCATATGCCCCTAGTGGGACCCCATACGAGCTGTGGTGACAACATAGTACACAACCTCAGTAGACTCACATATCTATAGTTCTCACATGTGTACATGGGCTAATCAAGAAATAATAACAATTACATTATATATGACATGTATATTTGGTAATGTGAAGTGTGTTACAGAAATTTCATGATGATATGTTTGTTAATTGGCATAGTTATATATATATGATATATGACGTGTATTCATGGTGTGTAAAGGGTTATAGGATCAAAGAAATCAATGATAATGATACGTGTTGGAAACATTTTTGTGTTTCGATATAACAAATTAAGTTTAAATGAATTTTAAGATTTTACAAATGATTTTCTAAAGTATATTCGATTTAATTAATCGAATATCAAATTATTACTCCAAGTCTTTCAAGTTCAAATTCAAACCTTACTAAATGTGCAAAATTGTGTTTTATACTTAAACTATTTTTGAAATAATTTTCATAAAGTATTTTGAACCAAAATCAAGCCTAAAATCAATTTATCAAAGTGATACACCGATGCACCAATCCATGCATCGATGCACCATGAATTAAATTGAACATCAAATGCATTTCATGCATCGATGCACATACCATGCACCGATGCACTGAGGATTTTATGAAAACATCGAATGCATTTGATGCATCGATGCACCAGCCATACATCGATGCACCAGCCATGCATCGATGTACCAGCCATGCATTGATGCACTCTGGCTATTTTGAAACATCGAATGCACTTGATGCATCGATGCACTCTTAGTGCACCGATGCACTAAGGGTCCAACGGTCAAAATATTTGAATTTTACACTGATGCACCGTTGCACAATGGGTATGCATCGATGCACTGACGCTCCCAACTGAATTTGTTAATTTTTTTCACGCTTAAATGACTATATTGACTCCACTAAGCATCCCCAACGTTCAGAATCATTTGAAAGTGTATTTAAACAAGCTTATAAGCCATTGATCAATAACAAGAAACAACAAGCAACTAGAATCAAGAGAGAATCAAAGAGAAAGCATCAAACCTCAAGTTTGAGCATTTCAAGCCTATTTTTCATTCAATATTCATTTTGCTTTCAAGAACACTACTTGTACTCAATTGTATTCATTTTTAGTGTTCTTTTCTTTGTTCTAGAATTGTGCAAACAATCTACCTTGTGAGGATTTCCTTGCAAGTTTACAAATTTGTAATCTTCTCTTTGAGAAAGAGTGTTCTCAAGAATTGGGGTATATTCTTGAGGGAGTTGTAAGGTTATCTCTTTGGCCTCAAAAGAAAGAACAAATTAGTGAATTTGTTGGAAAATCCTTAGTGTGGATAGCTAAGGTAGTGGACGTAGACTTTGATTGAGAAAGTCGAACCACTCTAAATCGCTGTGCAATTACTTTCAATTTTCTGCAAAAGCTTCCACCAAAATTTTAATTTCCAATTTACCCCCCTCTTGACCGATTCTGTCGATCGATTAACTTAACAATAAGAATTATAATAAGGATAAAGAATTGATATGCATATGTCTATAGTTATGTTTGAATGCATAATGCATTCCATAGTTTATGATGATTGCATGAAGTATGCATAATAGGGATTAGAAATGGTATGTCATAGTAAGTTTAATTATGCCTCACTAAGTCTATGACTTAGCGTGTAAGCGTTTTTACATGTAGGTTCCAAAGAGCAAGAAGATCAAGACGAAACTCAATGTGGGACTATAGCCATTAGATCATATCTTTTAGGCCAATATATTAATATTGACCCTGCAATTATAGCTTCACATTTTGGATTAGATGATGATGGGTTATATAATGATAATGAAACTATAGATTATCCCTATGTTCCAAACGCTAGTATTAGTACTCTACGATCTCATCACGATCTTTTTCTTCATCTGATGATCTCTTGGTGGTTTAGACCATCCGAAGGTAGGTACTCCACTCTTCGTATTAGGGATTTTTGGTGGATGCACTATCTCAAGAATAAGATCATAATCAATCTACCCCACATTATCTTTAGCCAACTAGTTGATGTCATAAATATTGTTCCTTCAAAACATGTCGAAACATTAGTTTATGGATGTCTTATTAGTAACCTCTTTATCAAAATTGGTCTAGACGTCTCTCTCGATAATCCTATCCCACTCCAAAACCAAATCAATCTTACTTCCTTAAAAAAAACGGATTGGAAACAAGACGAGGAAATCGGTCTTTGGGTATTTCGACCCGGGAGCTAGCTCTTCACGAGCTGCTCCTAGCTCTTCTCGTGCTCCTCCTCCGGTACCGGCTGCTGACGATGATCCTGAGTTTCAACAACTTATGCAAGATATCAACGATCACGTTCCAGACGATGAGCCTGCACCGGAACCGACATGACAAGAAGATCAAATGCCACCATATTTTCTATCCTTCTCGGAGTCGTTTGATGAGGTTTGCCTCCATGGAGTCTCAGATTACTGAGTTTCAGTGGGAGATGCGTGAACGTATGGACGCTCTCACTCTTGAAGTTCGAGCTCATTATCCTCCTCCTTCCGATCCTCCTATGGAGTGAATTTGTTTCCTTGTTATGTTTTCTTGGATTTTCAAACTTGGATTAATTTTTGATATTTCTAGATTGTTTGTTTTGGATTGATAAATGTTTGAATTTGTTAGGGGTTGGATGTTTTATGGATTTTGAACTTATTATAAATATATTTGGTTTGATTCTATTATTTTGAGCTTAATGATTATTAATTTTTGCATCATATTAGTTCATTTTGACCAATTATTCTATTTCACATTTAATTATGAATATTGTTTATGAAACTAATGGCTAATGTCTCTTTTGATTGTGATCTTTTGATTGTGTTATAGTAAGGGGAGTCCAAATTGAGTCAAAATTGATTTCAAATTTTTAGAAAATCTTAAAATAACACAAATATTTTTTATATCAAAAAGGATGAG